GGGCCAATGATTCACAGTGGCGCTATTGTTGGTGCAATGGCAACGCCACCTGTCGGCTCATTGATGATTCGCTTTACATGTCCCATTTTCTGACGTTTGTAGCGCCTCGCCTGGGACTGAAGTGCGGGTTCCCAGGGAGCTTCTGCCTCAGGTTCTTCAACCTGGAACGCCGCTTGCGCCCGCTGAACTTGGATGCTCCTTGGGCTCGTGGTAATACCAACCTGCTCAGAGATGCCATAAGAATTGGGTAGATTGCTGGGGCCAGTTGCAGATTCAATGGATTGGTTTAAGGGAAAATTTACAGGAAACCATGGTTGGGTTTTCCTGTAAATTTCCCCCTAAACCAATCCATTGACAGATCTAGTGAAACTCAGAATATCACTGCTGGTGAACCCTTGGTGAACCCGGAAACCTAGTTGCAACGAGAAACCTGCAACTGTTGTTACGGCAGACAGTCTCTTCCCCAAACGTGAGGGGATGAAAAGCAGTGCCACACGCGCAATCGCAACCTTTCTTTAAGCACAGAGAGTCGTTAGATAACCATTAATAACCATTAATAACCATGAATAACCCATTAATAACCCATTAATAACCCATTAATAACCCATTAATAACCCATTAATAGCCCATTAATAACCCATTAATAACCCATTAATAACCCATTAATAACCCATTAATAACCATTGATGGAAATTTACAAGCAGTCTGTGGCAACTTGCCAATTACGCGAGTTTCTGCCGGGTCTCCGTGATATTTTTTTGGGGTCTTTGTTTCAGGTGGAGGCGCGCGACTTTGTGGCGGCTGGAGCAGCGGCTGGTGTCAGCGCGGCCTTTGGAGCACCCATTGGAGCAGTTCTGTTTGCTGTGGAGGAGGGTGCCTCCCACATGACACCCAGGAGCGCCGGTAGCTGCCGCTGCCAAAGCCGATTTCCAAGATGGGTACCCGGCCTGGTCAACATACAAAAAACTATTGAAAATGGCCATAGAAATAGTTGATTTACCCATTAAAAATTGTGATTTTCCATAGTTTTTTGTATGTTTACCAGAGGGTAGACATAGAAATTCTCAATGAATCAACGTTTACGACGTGGTAAATTGCTAAATCCATCTTAATCCGACGAGGATCCTGACGCAACTCTTTGTCTCCAGTTCAGTGGCAACTTTGGTCACAAGGCTGACCCTCGGACCAATCATCAGCAACCATCCTTGGACTTTGTTGCTGAGCTGCACTGAGCTGCAGAGGAAGTTTAATGTTTCTCATGTGGTTTTGCAAATGTTGAAAAATGTTGAACTGTGGATTTTCATGGATTTTCATGGATTAAAAAGGCATGTGGCCATGATCCTTTGCAAATTCTGTTCTTGTCGCTGCTCTCCGATCTCCCAAAGCGATTAAAGTGATGACGTCTGTGACATTGCCTGATCTCCCAAAGTTTGATCGCCAGTTTGACGTGTGAGTCGCACCTTCGCCAGGTTGGGCACTGGGGTGCCAGTCAGCTTTGGCAGATTCACTGAGGTTTCGTTTCATGGCGAAGCGTTTAGTGAAGCGTTTAGTGAAGCGTTAGTGAAGCTTCTGGTTGTTTTGAGTTTGTTGAGTTTGTTGAGTTTGTGGCATTGGGATCTACAGATGGAAGAACAATACGGATAGATGGACTGTCAGACAGGCAGACTTTTGCCATTTATGAATTTGACCAAAGAATTCCCTTTTTGCCAAGCCAGTTTGTCACTTCAAGAATTCTGCTCTTGGTCCGTGGTTTTTTTGGCCGCACAACAAACAAGGTATAACATTGTGGAGATGTTTATATTTGCCCTCATTGGCATCCTTTGTGGTTTGCTCGGCGCTCTCTTCAACCACATGAATGGACTGCTCAGTAGGTGGGCTATGGTGGGCTGCGATCACACCAGAAAATCACTTGAGATGTCAAACAATACCTATAAACCAACCATAGACATCCATAGACCGTATAGATTTCGAGACATGGCCTGAGTCAACTCTGAGTCAACCAAAAAAAATCTGCAACTCTGAGTCGCAGGTGGCGTAAACGTCGCATCGGCCCAACTGGCTGCAAGCGCTTTCTGGAGGTGAGCTGACGGGCCTGACGGGCCTGACGGGCCGGCTGTGCTGGGTCGTCGGATCGCCAAGTAGCTTCATGTCGACCTAGGAATCAGGTCCTGACAAATTCTTGGCTTCACTGCGCCTCACCTACTTGCATGTATATCCAAGATTGTTTCACTGTTAGATGTATTCATTATAGCCGGTTATAGCATTGATGTTGTATTCAAATCCATTTTACTCCCATTTAACTTATGAAAATCATTGAATATCTATAGCTGTGGGGGTCCTTGGGGCCTGCAAGCCTACCTCCAGCTCATTGCCAGGTCCTTTGCGTGACATTCATCATTGCCTCCTTAAAGTTCTGGGTGCCTGCGGTGTTCCTGGCCATCAAAGGTCAAGGCAGGAGTTCGCAGGAGTTGCGTTGCTTCTGTTTTCGATAGAAAAAAACATGGGGCCCGGGCGGCATCCAACAGGCTGGCAACCGATGATCTTCGACGAGCTGTCTGAAACGCAGCAGCTGTGGCTTGAGGGAGGGCAAAAATCCATCAGTGCCTTGGTCCAGTTGTGACCTTCATGACCCTTGCGGCTAAGATGATATGAAGTGAACTGAAGTGACCTGAAGTGACCTGAAGTCTCGATACTGGTACTGCCTGGTACTGCCTGGTACTGTTTGCCGTTTTCTATTCTGTTACTCGACGACCAAATCTGACCAGGCAAACTTTGGCACCAGTGAGTTGCACGGAGTCACCCGGATTTTTTTTTGCCCGAAAACTGTCATCCGAAACCGTCGTTTTTGCGCAGGGGATCTATTTCACAACGATGTAGACAAAGCATTTGACGAATATGGCCTCCTGATCCTCTTTGCCCTGTTCAATCTAATGACCACATGCTGGACGTCCCTCGGCCAGGTGTCAGTCGTTCCAGCCCAGAATGGGGGGTCCAATGATTCAGTGATTGATGCTCTGTTCTGTTCTGTTTTGATCATTTCCTTGTTGACATTTCCTCAAGGGCCAGAGGTTAACACGCCTTGCTAATGCTTGTGTGATCATGTCACTCTCATGCTAGGATTTTGTTTGGGGCCACAAGGATGAATCTGCCGCAACGTCAGGTCCACAGTTGCCACAGCCGAGGTTTGGGCTGGGAGTTCCTGCAGGGCTATTTGTGCCTTCATTGCTGAGTGGAGCTGTCATTGGCCGCTTTGTGGGAGAAGTACTTCATCTCCTCCACTCCCAGGTGCAGCCTGAGCAGTTGCTGACCGATTTGGCTTCGCAAAGATATACTGAAGGACAACAATGTCAACAAGAATCCTTAGCACAATGCCTGCAACAGCTTTCATTTTTTTTTGTATCATTTGTTTTGTATTCCTTTTTCTCTTCCTGGAGTTCGTGGCAATGAAGTGCTTCTGAAACAGACCACCACCTCGACAACCACCGTCGCCATGGCCACCGGTACTGCGACACTTGCAAGGGCCTTAGTCAGGCAACAGTCAGGCCTTGGTCGGCAGCTGCAGCCAGTGATGGGGCCCCAGTGTGAAGAAACCTGCGGCCAGCAGGGCCGGCATTACGCTTGGAATGTGACAAGACGCTCATATGAGTAGGTCCAGGTACATGAGGAAGGGTTCACTCAGTGGTTGCACAGAAATTGCGGGGGTTGTTTATGCTATGTTAAGGCTCGGCTAGGCGAATTATGGTGAATTCTGGTGAATTCATGTCGGACAAGGGGCCCAAACGGCTCCAAAAGCGACTTAGGCCGTGGGTGGACCTGCTCATCCTGGAATCTATGCCTTGGTAGGAGCATGTGCTATGCTGGCCGGAGTTGGGAGGAGTGACAAAGAGAAGCCTCCATTGTGTTGAATTCTGTTCAATTCTGTTCACTTGATCTTCATCTCCATTGATGATACCCTCTGGTAATTTAACATAGCTATGGAAAATCACCGTTTTTAATGGGAAAATCCACTATAAATGGCCATTTTCAATAGCTACGTTAAATTACCAGAGGGTATATGATGATATCATTGATTTGCAAGATGCGTTTTTGACGTGTCATGAGGCTTCAAGAGGAACTTGCATTCAAATTTGCTCATGGCACATATGGCACGGCGCCAGGATAACAATTTCTTTGGCGATGATTTTGACAGAAGCAACTGGCACAGGCATTTTTGGACTTCCCATCTTCATGGTCGTGGTGATTGCAACCTGGGTAGGCGCTGCGTGATGTGTGAAGTGTGTGAACGTGTGAACGTGTGACCTAGGTGTTGGCTGCAAGTTTGCAGCCACCACCTTCGGATGATTGTGTGGAGGAGTAGCATTATCTCAGGGAGCGAGTCTGTTATCTGTTTAGATCTATGAAGCGAATCTGTCGAGTTTTTAGGCTTTTTGATCATTTGATGGTTGTAGAGAGCCTGAGCGCCTCACTGAAAAGTCTGAAAACATGACCAAACATGTGAGACGGCGCACATTGCTGGCCACTGGCTTGAATGATGGCATTGGTCGAACGATTTCACTCCCACTGACGAGGCGACGTGTTTACTCGTGGGATCTACGATCTTCACATCATCGAGCTCAAACAGATCCCGCTCCTGGAGCAGTCTCCTGCGGACGTCATGGTTCGCTACGCAGTGAAGGACATCATGGCCAGTGAGGTGCAGCGATGTGCACCACCAAATAGTACCAAGAATGCTGAAAGAATCGCAGGAATGCTACCTTTCTTTAATTTCGTTGGCATTTTGCATATTTTGTTATGGCCCTTATGGCATGTTTTCTCATGTGTTGCTTGATGCTTACATTGCTTATCGCCTGTGTAGAAATTATCCCAAACAACAACTTTGTGCCGGCACCATTTAAATCAAAGGAGTCAGGATCTGATGACGGTAAGTCGGTAAGTTTTTATTTTCTTCAGCATGTGAGACTATGTGGGTAGCCATCTTCACCATCTTCACCATGTGGCTTGAGGTGGTGTGCCTGCAAGCAGTTGAGAAGGTCCAACGGATTGTGGATATTTTGGGCTCATGCCACCACAATGGCTTTCCTGTGCTGGAGAATGGCACCAAGAAGATGGAGGCATGGCCATAGAAATAGTGACGTTTTCCCATTCAAAATGGGTGGATCTTTCCATAGTTATGTTAGTTTACCAGAGGGTAGAGTTTGCCAATGCAGAAAGCATTTCTTTCTGCTCTCATCGAATCTCATGGTTGTTGTGTCCAGGGGTTGATCGAGCGTGGCTTCTTGCATTTGCTGTTGGCCAGAGGTGGGGGCCAAGTTGAGGGTATTGTGGCAGGTGCTGCTCGAGTGAGCCAAGTTTTTCTACAAAGATGTCTCTTCTAGAGACATAAACTGGTAAACTCGCATCGCGGTGTGCTGCATAGCCTTTTATGTTTTTTTCATTGTGAAACAAGCAGATTTCATCAGATGTTTCTATAGGTCCGAGTTGGGGTTTCTTGATTCATGAGTTGATTCATGAGGCCACTACTACGGGATGTTCCAGGATGATCCCGATGCTCCCCTTGGTTCTTTGGTGCCTTTCGAGGCGAGGGATCTTTGGTTTCTATGATAAATAGATATACCCTCTGGCTATTTAACATAGCCATGGAAAATTGCCCATTTATAGATGGTTTACCCATTAAAAATGGTGATTTTCTATGGCTATGTTAAATAACCAGATGGTAAATTAGTTAAATAATTTCAATATATTTCAATAATGTTAGATAGTTTTCTCCTAGCCGACGTTTCGGCATGCGTGGGCTTTAATAACGGCGTTTTGTTTTTTTTTGCTTCAGGTATCTAGATGTTTCTAGGGGAAGAGGACAGCATGAAATTCAGCCCCCCGAGGCCATTGCCTGGCCGAACATCCACTCCTATCCAGACCTGAAGACGCTTCGGAAGAAGTTGAGTGCTCCAGACAGGCAAAAATATATGGACTTGCGCCCGCAGCTAGGCACCGAATGCACCGATGGATTCCCAGAGTCAGAGTCCAGAGTCTGAGTCTGGTCACGGGTTACAACTTTTTCAATAGCACAGGACGTCGCAATTTTTTCCAGTGCGGTGCAAGCTGGCTGAGGTATGCGAGCTGCAATGGCTACAGCATTTTGCCACAGGCTTCAATGGCAAGCGCTTTCATGCTGTTTCGGCAAATGGGCCTACGACATTTGCCTGTGGTGGACTCTGATGGTGACCTCTGTGTCCCGGCTTACGGTGAAATGACACCGAGTTTGATACCCTCTGGTTATGACTAACATAGCCATGGTATAGATGGCCCATAGAAATAGATGGTTTAGCTATTAATAGCATGGTGATTTTCCATGGCTATGTTTAAATAACCAGAGGGTACTTGAACCCATTTGGTATGTTGTCAGCACCAAATGCAGATGATCAGAGTGCCGAGGTGGAATCATAACACGAAAGGACTGCAGGGAAGTGGAAGCCACAGATCAAGTTGATTGTTAGGCAGGGCGAGGCAAAGACCTACGGAAGATCCGAAGTCATGTTATGAAGTTATGAAGTGGTGAAGGATTCTGAATGAATGAATTCAGTGATGGCATGAAATGATGAAGGAAATGTGAGAAACAAAGTGGCAAAGCAACGTGATTACACCAAAGAAGTCGTTTTTAACAATGGAAACTATGAAGGACAGAAGTGATGAAACCAACTCTTAGTGATGAAACCAACATTTTGTGATTTTTGGGAAGGGAGTGATGAGTCATGATATGGACCATATGGAATGATATCGGAAGCGATGAAATCATCAAAGCCATGAAAGGAGAGAAGGCCGTTTTTTTGACATAAACTGACTGATGAAAGGAGCCTAAGATGAAATGAAGCATTTTTTATATAGCAGTGAAAAAAGAAAGTGATGAAACGCAGGGATGAGATGAAGTATAAAGTGAGATGGAGTGATGAAACATCATCATGACATGAATTGAGATGAAATGATCAGAAGTGATATGACAAAGTGATATAACTCATAACATGTCATGAACATTCCCCAGTGTATTCTTGGCTTTACGGCGTTTTACAGTGGTTCAGGCCTGGTGGTCTCCGGGTCCTGCGAATTTGGTGGCATTGAGCACATTGCTAAAAAGTTGGCAGGTGTGGGTCGATATAAGAGGTTGTTTCGGCAGTCTTTTTTCGTGGCGGGCCTAGTGTTTAGTGAACTTGGCGATTTTTTTTAAGATTTCGAAATTCTCGTTTTGTGAAACTGTCCTCATTCTTGATTTGGCAACATTTGGTGCATGGTGATCATTTGGCCCGGCAGGCGCGGTACTTTAGAGACATCGGCCGAAAAATGATTGAAACATAGGTAAAAATGGTAAAACATCATTGTTTTTTACCTTCTTAACTTTCATTTTTCGCGGTGCACGCCGTACCGGGTGAGGTTCTAACATGTGCTTGCGCAACCCTGTGGTCACTTTGTGCATGTCAAATCGCTCTCGTTGTGGCGCGGTGCTTATTCTGATATCGCTGGCACAACCCTCTCGTCACTTTGTGTGTGCCTTAGGGTCTCTTCGTGACGCGGTGCTCATTTTGGCTGCATCTCAAAGATCCGGGCGTGACTTATGAGTTCTCAGGAAGGTCCTTCTATGCCAGAGTTTAATATGTTTATATAATGGACTGCTCGTAAGGTCCCATTTTCTGAAGATCTTGACCAAGGTCTTGTCGACTCTGATAATCTGGTGAATATCGTGGTGAAATCCTGTACAGGAAGGAAGTCCTTGTATGATCAAAAAAACGTCCTGAGAAGATCTAGCGGAGATCCTGGCGACATCCTAGCCGGTCCTATCTCTAAGAGGTCCTTGCATGAAGATTCTTGAAGATGACCTGCACTGGAGGTGCTTGTCCGAAAACTCTTTTTTGAGATGCTCTTATGAGACGTTTCTTGTATGAAGATCTTGTAATATCCTCATTACCATCTGGTTATTTAACATAGCCATGGAAAATCCCAACCATAAATGGAGGTTTTAATGAACAAAATCTTCTATAAATGGGTCATTTTCCATAGCTATGTTAAATAACAAGAGGCTAGTAGCTCTATGTAGCTCAAGGTCCTGGTCACCTGGTCGCAGGACTTGATCCTTATGGAGGAAGATGAGCACGGTGAGATGGTTCAGAGGTGCCGCCACGTAGGGAAAAACGTAGGGAAAAACCCCTCGGTCACTGCAACTCAGAGGCGACTTGTTAGCTGTTAGCACTATTTAGCACTGGTCAACTCTTTCCGTGAAACTCCATCAGGGGTTGGTAACTGTCCCATTTTGGGATATATTGGACATCACCCAAAATAGTAGCCATCTAGTAGACCATATACCATTCATGGTTGGGTGATGTGAAAAATGGGGACATTTAATGACCCATGTCCATAGTCACTTAGTCTTCACACGTCTTGAGATTCGATGATTTTTTCGCCAGGTCACAGCCGAAGCTTTCCCCGGACACCGGCTGGTCATTACGGAAGTCCGAGATGTACTACGATGGATCGGCCTCGGCCCCGTGTCTCAAGTGCTGATCAAAAACCTGCCGGGCTTTGCTGTTACCCAAAGGTGCTGTTGATTAAGTGTGAACGTTCCCAACATGTCGATGACACTGTGAACTAGATATTGAGAAATTCTACCTCTGTGGTTCGAGTTAAGCAAAAAAAACTAAGGAGTTGGTGCTAGACAGTGCTGCTGCGAGCGCGCTGGATAGTGAGGATACCGAGTTGTCTGAGGAGATGGTGTGGGATTGGAAGACTGTCTCTTCACAACATCATTCGCAGTTTCAGCTATGGAAGCTATGGAACCTGCAGATATTCCATACATTTCCATACATTTCCATACTATTCTATGCTTCTCATGGAAAGATATGGAAAGGGCTTCGAACATTTCGAAGATTTGGTCGCCCTTTGGTAGCCTTTCAGTCGTGCATGGCAGGAGCTGAGCATGCCGGCAGTCGTGGTGGAGCCAAACGATGGTGCCCCGCAAAGCTCAGATTCAGACGCCACTGACAAAGACTTCGAAGTGCAAAGTCGGGCTCTGAGACTGATGAGACCTTAAAGTTGGATGAAGTTGCAATGGCAAGTGCTTGAGACAGCATTTTACGAGATGGGAAGGCCGTATTACTTGGATGTAAATATGAATGTATGGTGGTTGGGTTCAAAGCCATGAATAGTGGCATTCTCGGCATGCATTCTTGCCGGTTCAGCATTGCAAGAGCGATCAGTTGTCCTGGATGATCTGGATGTGTTGCAAGATGCGAAGGTCACGGCGGCATGGGTGGGATGGGAGCTTGATTCCGAGTGCTTTTGCAGCCTTGTGTAGTAGCGCGGCGAATGCCAGGATCCAACACTGGAAGCCAAGTTGAAAAGATACCGGGTATCACATGGTATCACGCATAGCTTATAGCTTATTCTGCTACCGTTGTGTGATACAGGCTTGGCTGATGCATAGAGGGGCCAAGATTCCCAGAGTTCAGAAAAAGCAGATGCGGCTTTCAGTTGTGATGTGGCGAGCACGACTCTGCGCTCATGATTTTCCTTTCAGAAGCGTTTCCGGTGACCTTTGTTTCCCCGGGAAAAGGTGCTGTCATGTCATTTTCTGTCCTTGGCCACCAAGCGAACATCGGCGGTGATTCAAGGCTGCACGAAAATTCGCAGGTGCTGCGGCCTTTGTATCCAGACATTGACCTCTTTGTTCTATGCCCAATGCCACTTTCAAAGAATCTTGGCTAACGTCATCTATCGTCATCTCCATCTACCCCTGATGAGATTTGTCAGATAGCACTTGGGCTTTGCAACGTCCACGACTTTGTTTTGCAGCATAGTAGGAGACGACCCAAGGTCTGGACTCTACGGAAACCAGCGTTTGCAACTAGCAGTAACTAGCCATCCTTGATAGGCTCCCACAGCTCTGCAAGTTGCTGACAAGATGTCACTGAATGTGGGGTCAACAGATCGGTGGGCTGGCAGTCCATTAGGCAGAAATTCCCATGAATCCTGGGATGTATCTATGGACATATGATATGTAAATCAATATATATATATTATATATAGTAATATCATATGATATGCCAGAGTTTCAACAGATTCAACAGTCAAAAAGCACACATGCCATGCACAGTGAAGGTGTGCCGAAGCTCACACACCTCAAAGGTGATGCCAAGCTAGCTCGTTATTGTAAACATGTTGAAACCAATCTTGAACCCCAGCATTGCGACTGTAGAGTGTTTTCCGGATCCCAGCTCTTTGCTTTTAAGTGCTGCCGATGCTTGAGCTGCAAGGGGTCTGAAAGACGGACTCCTGCTCAAACTTTTGGAACAGCTGGGGGGAAGGTGTGCCTTTACTTTTTTGCGCATCAAACTACTTCTTGATGATCTAAATGACTAAAGATTTCTGTACAGTTACGTTTTTTGAGGCTGTAGAGGTACAGTTGAGGGCCCTGTGCCGTCATGGAAAGGTCATGGGATGTGTTCTCCATGAGGTCACCAGTGGCCTGAACTTCGGCGATCAACGTCAACAATATTCAACCATATAGCATGTTTATTAGCATGTTTAGCATGTTTAGCATGTTTAGCATGTTGCAGAAGCAGTTTAATGTAAGATATTCGTATAGATATGTAAGGCCATCAGAATGTCGTCCATGTTGTGTGGAATGGTTGGGCATAGTGATGTATGGATCAGAAGTTCTCGGTTGCATGAAATCCAATACGCCTTGCCTCCAGCTGATAGAGTTCGGTCTTGCTCGCCGAGCAATCACCTACAGACAAAGAGGGGTGGGCCAGTGACGAGAAGTCTGATTTGAAGGTGGCTGCAATTTTTCCTAATGCTTGCTGTTGGTTGTTGGGGACATCGCTGGCATGCTGCCCCGTGTTGCTTAGGGCCATTTGTACAAAATGGCGGCTTTGAGCAAGCTCTTTGAAACCCGGAGCCCAGCAAAAACAAGGTGCTTGGAGCATTGGAGCCGGAGGGCTAATTATTTTAGGATTTTTTTTTGATCAGGTTTAGGAATTATTTTTGGATTCCTGCTTCTCTGCTTTTCCTGCTTCTCTGCTTTCCTGCTTTTCCTGCTTCTCTGCTTCTCTGTTTTTTGCTTTTCTGCTTCTCCTGCTTCTCTGCTTTTCTGCTTTTTTGCTTTTCTGCTTCTCCTGCTTCTCTGCTTCTCTGCTTTTCTGCTTTTTTGCTTTTCTGTTTTTCCTGTTTCTTTGCTTCTCTGCTTTTCCTGCTTTTCCTGCTTCTCTGCTTTTCTGCTTTTCCTGCTTCTTTTCCTTTCTGCTGTTTTGCTTGTGTGCGTTTCCTGTTTTTTTGCTTCTCTGCTTTTTTGCTTCTCTGCTTTTTTTTTTGCTTTGCCTGCGATAAATACTTGATTTTCATGTAAGATGCATTTTGCAGAGTATTTACATCCCTGAGTATCACATGACCAACCTTCTCTTGAAAACTAGCAACGTAACATGTGAGAAGAGGTGCTTGCATTCTGCTTTGGGGGGAGGCGCTGCGCCCTCCCCCCAATCCCCCCCTCCCGTTTTTTTTTAATTTAAACTTAACCCCAGTTACATTAGTTGGTTTTTGCGAACTAACCTTCTCTGGAAAGCTGACAGGTTTACATGTGATAGATAGATAGATAGATAGATAGATAGATAGATAGATAGATACATAGATAGATAGATAGATAGATAGACAGACAGACAGACAGATAGATAGATAGATAGATAGCTGATAGATAGCTTGGTAGATAGATAGCTTGGTAGATAGATAGCTAGATAGATAGATAGCCAGCTAGATGGATAGATAGCTAGAGAGATAGATAGCTAGATACCTCGATAGATAGATGGCTAGATAGATAGCTAGATAGATAGATGGCTAGATAGATAGCTAGATAGATAGATAACCAGCTAGATAGATAGATAGCTAGAGAGATAGATAGCTAGATACCTCGATCGATAGATGGCTAGATAGATAGCTAGATAGATAGATGGCTAGATAGATAGCTAGATAGATAGATAGATAGCTAGCTAGATAGATAAAGAGGTAGCTAGATAGATAGCTAGATAGATAGATCGATAGATAGAAAGCTAGATAGCTAGATAGCTAGATAGATAGTTAGCTAGATAGCTAGATAGGTAGATAGATAGCTAGCAAGATAGCTAGCTAGATAGGTAGATAGCTAGATAGATAGATAGATAGCTTGCTAGATAGATAGCTAGCTTGCTAGATAGATAGCTGGATAGATAGCTAGCGCCCTCCCTCAATCCCCCCCACCCGCTTTTTATCTAATCCCAAGCTTCCGCATCTGTAAATATTTGTGTGAACATGCTCACATGTAGAACATCCCATGCAAAATGGAAGGTGAACATGCCAAAATGTGGCAAATACTATACAAAATGGAAGGTGAACATGCCCACATGTAGGAAATCCCATGCAAAATGGAAGGTGAACATGCCAAAATGTGGCACATACCATACAAAATGGAAGGTAACATGCCCACATGTAGTAAATCCCATGCAAAATGGAAGGTGAACATGCCAAAATGTGGCACATACCATACAAAATGGAAGGTGAACATGCCCACATGTAGGAAATCCCATGCAAAATGGAAGGTGAACATGCCAAAATGTGGCACATACCCTACCCAAGCAAAATGGAAGGTGAACATGCCAAAATGTGGCACATACCATACAAAATGGAAGGTGAACATGCCCACATGTAGGAAATCCCATGCAAAATGGAAGGTGAACATGCCAAAATGTGGCAAATACCATACAAAATGGAAGGTGAACATGCCCACATGTAGTAATTCCATGCAAAATGGAAGGTGAACATGCCCAAATGTGGCAAATACCATACAAAATGGAAGGTGAACATGCCCACATGTAGTAATCCCATGCAAAATGGAAGGTGAACATGCCAAATGTGGCAAATACCATGCAAAATGGAAGGTGAACATGCCCACATGTAGTAAATCCCATGCAAAATGGAAGGTGAACATGCCAAAATGTGGCAAATACCATGCAAAATGACAAATTCAAGTTCCAAACCGTTGCAAACACTAGGCAAATGGTACCAGCCAAGAAATCCAAAAAAAATTCCCAAACCTGCTCAAAAAAACAAGATGAAGCCCACGAACCCGAATGCTCACACGTATGTCCAAGATAACGATGTTAAAGTATCGATAATGATATGAGATGCAAATGTCAATGCTCAAACCTATTGCTCCGGAACTGTTTTCTCTCCGCGACAGCAGCACTGGCGTCACAACGCAGTGGCGCGCGGCAAGCAGCGCCTTCCAAGACATGGAAACCATGCGAGACGAATGTGTTGGGAATCACATGCGTCGATGCAACAAGATAAAATGTATGGATCAACGAACCAGAAAGTATCGGAAACGTGTTGAAACATCCTGTAGTGGCACCAAGCACGCTCGATGCCTCCACGGCACTGGTGTTGCAAAGCTGCATCGCGACGCAGTCATCACCTGCCAGAACATCCGAGCCAGACGAGGCACAGTTGTAGCAGACGAATCATTTTCTGAGTTATGGAAACAGAATCTTGATGAAGACAATTCAATAACGAGTGTGTGAGACAACGAAACAACCCAAACAAAAAGGAAAATAAGAACGGCTCTTGTTGATCTGTCCAACAAAATCATATCATCTTCAGATTGCAAAAGGAACAGGGACTTCTTTCTACCATCCTGTAACACGTCCTGGAAGCTGCTCAGCAAGACAGCGAGGACAGCGCCACCAGCTGTCGCTCTATACACAACCAGACAGATTTTGGGCATGTCCAACTTCTCGCCAAGACAACGGAGTCACCGACGCCAGCTGTCCCTCTGTTGCCTGAAGTCAAACAAACTCGTCGAAATAGATGCCAACACCAGACGAAGCTCACCTGGCCATTTGTGTTGCCAGCGAAAATGCAAACCACCAGATGAGCAGTGTCTGGTTCCATCCAGGTCGCATTTTTGCTCCGACAGAGATGGAAGCTCGATTGAATCAAACCTTGACGCAGAGCAAGCACAGGAAACCCGGGGTCTCTGGCTGGACCGCCCAGCCACAGACGCTGGGAACTGACTCGCAAGGCACTCAGATGGCACGGATGATGAACTGATCCTCAAGATCCGCCGTGAGAATTGCTTGTGTGTCACACGCACTTCCGCTCTCACCTGAGCGACCCGGCCGAACCCGCGGGCGGACCCAGGGCTCCGCCGGGCAGACCGTCGAGGCTGTTGCACAAAAAAAAACGGTTGCATGTTGAGTGGTTCAGCATGCTGTCTCTCGAGAAATAGCGTTGCGTCGTAG